GGTAGCGGGGGGGGATGCGCTGCACCAGGGGGTGCCGGGTGCCCTGCGCGCGCGGAGCGGCGGCGGGAGGGATGGGGTCCGTGGTCTGGAGCCCGCAGGGACGGGCAGAGGCTGGGGAGGGGGACGGGGTGGAGAGCGGAGGGTGCGGGGAGAGTCGCGGGAAAGCGGAGAGGGGGGTCAGGTGGAGGGCGGAGAGGTGGCCGAGGGTCAGGCCGAGGAGGAGGCAGGTGCGGGGAGAGGATGGGAAGCAGCTGGAGGGGAAGGAAGGGGGAGATGTAGAAAGAGCCACAGAGAGAGGCGGGCAGAGGCGGGAGAGAAGGGGTGCACACCTGGGGGGGGGGTAGATGCTGGGGGAGGTGGGGGCAGACTGAGGGGCAGAGAGACAGAGAGAAGGAAAGAGTCTTGTCCCAGCGCATCTGTTTCCGGGACGCCAAGCGCCACCAGGGTCTCCGTTCCCATCCACGTTCACCCACAGCCCCGGGCATGTTTCTTTTCTTTTCAATCATATATTTTTATTGATTTCAGAGAGGAAGGGAGAGGGAGAGAGAAACATCAGCGATGAGAGAGAATCATGGATCGGCTGCCTCCTGCACGCCCCCCACTGGGAATCCAGCCCGAAACCTGGGCCTGTGCCCTTGACCGGAATCGAACCTGGGACCCTTCAGTCCATAGGTCGAGGCTCTATCCACTGAGCCAAACCGGCTAGGGCATGTGTTTTGAGTCAGCTTGGTGGCATACATCCATTTAGGGTCCTCCGTGTTCCTACAGAGAAACTTCCAGAACCCCCTGAGGGCCCTGTGTTGTTGTTGTTGTTTTTTAAATATTTTATTGATTTTTTACAGAGAGGAAGGGAGAGGGATAGAGAGTTAGAAACATCCATGAGAGGGAAACATCGATCAGCTGCCTCCTGCACACTCCCCACTGGGGATGTGCCTGCAACCAAGGTACATGCCCTTGACTGGAACCGAACCTGGGACCCTTCAGTCCACAGGCTGACTCTCTATCCACTGAGCCAAACTGATCAGGGCTTTGTTTTTTTTTGTTTTTTGTTTTTTTTTTTAGATCGATCCCTATGTATTCTCTGTGCCCACCACAGGGTCCCCTAGATCCTCACGTGGGCCCGGATAGGACTGTATGTCCCCACGATAGCATATCCATGGATCTGATCAGCTGGATTTCCACACCAGCCAGGACTCCCCTATATCAGGTACCCCAAGGTGCAAGGCATCCATGGAACTCCAAATCCCCTGCAGAGTGTACCCGGGAGCCTGCAGTCTCCTGGCCATGCACCCTCATTCCGTGGACCTCCCTGAGCACCAGGCCCACTTGCAAGTGGTGGGGGCCGAGAAAGATCCCGGCCCTGTGGCTGAGGCAAAGGATAAAACAAGATAAACAAGCAGAATATGCCCTAACTGGTTTGGCTCAGTGCATAGAGCGTCGGCCTGCAGACTCAAGGGTCCCAGGTTCGATTCCGGTCAAGGGCATGTACCTTGGTTGCGGGCACATCCCCAGTAGTGGGTGTGCAAGAGGCAGCTGATGGATGTTTCTCTCTCATCGATGTTTCTAACTCTCTATCCCTCTCCCTTCCTCTCTGTAAAAAATCAATAAAATATATTAAAAATAAAACAAGCAGAATATAGGGTCCATCCAACGGCCACGCTCAGTGCTAAAGAGGAGACTGGAGCAGGGAAGGGAACCGGAAGTGTTTGCGGAGTGCGGTATTTTAGTTACAGTGCCGGCAGGAAACAGGAAGCGAGAAGGCCCCGAGTGGGATTGTGCCAGGCGGGCGATAGGAGTGTGGAAGGGGCCAGTGTGGCTGGAGGGGCTGTGGGGGTGGGGGGTGACCCCAAAGGAGGTGAGGACGCAGGGCGTTCGGGCCCTTAGAAGTCCTGGTTTACTCCGGGTAGTCTGTAATTATTAATAGGGCCTGCTTTCATTCTCAAGTGTCTTTGCCATTAAATGGAAAATTTTAGGATTATCCTACCTAGAGGTCATTGTAACCTGAAACCTATATGTGCATGTTAACCAACATGATCCCAATAAGTTCAATAAAAAAATAAAAATAAAATCTTCAAAAAAAGGTCATTGTAAAGACTATGGCTTTTTTAAAAAAAATCCTCACCTGAGGATCTGTTTATTTATTTTAGAGAGAGAGGAAGGCAGAGAGAGAGAGAGAGAGAGAGAGAGAGAGAGAGAGAGAGAGAAACATTGATGCAAGAGAGAAGCATCTATAGGTTGCCTCCTGAATGCACCCTGGCTGGGGTTTGAGCCCAAACTTAGGTATGTACCCTGACTGGGAATCGAACCTGCAACCTTTTAGTATACGGGATGCTCCAACCAACTGAGCCATTCAGCCTGAGCAAGGCTATGGCTTTTTTAAAAAAAAATAATACATTTTATTGACTTTTTACAGAGAGGAATGGAGAGGGACAGAGAGTTAGAAACATCGATGAGAGAGAAACATCGATCAGCTGTCTCCTGCACACCTCCTACTGGGGATGTGCCCGCGACCAAGGTACATGCCCTTGACCGGAATCAAACCTGGGACCCTTCAGTCTGCAGGCCAACACTTTATCCACTGAGCCAAACCGGTTAGGGCAAGGCTATGGCTTTTATATGCTACCTGGGACCACCATTTAGGCCACTATCATATTATACCTATATTCATATATATAATGTTATATATAGTTACATGTGCATATATACTATATAGTATGATGTATAATTTTATATGTAAATACACATTATCGATTGATAGGCTTGTGCATAGGTGTAGTATGTAGGTATGGTAGGCGGCCCCCAAAGATGTCACATCCACATTCCCAGAACCTGTGAATACATCACCTTACAGGGCAAAAGAGACTTTGCAGATGGGACTTGAGTCAAGATGATCCAGGTTATCTGAGTGGCTCTAAATGTAATCACAAGAGCCCTTAGGAGAGGGAGGTGGGAGGTTCTGAGTCAGAGGAGATGGGACAGGGAAGCAGAAGGGATGTGGCCACAGTCCAAGGAATGCAGGCGGCCTCCGCGAGCTGGACAAGGCAAGAAGGTAGGTTCTCTCCTGGAGGCTCCGGAAGTCACACAGTCCGGCTGACACCTTGATTTTAGCGCAGTGCAAGTCGACGAGTCCAAAACCCATTTAGGACTTCTGATCTCCAGAACGGTAAAATAATAAATCTGTGTTGTTTTAAGCCACCAAGTTTTTTAGTGATTTGTTAATAGCAGACATAGGAAAGGAATACTAGTACAATAGGGTGCCCATGGGTCCAGACCTGTGTCTGATAGTTATCCTACTACAAACACACACACACACACACACACACACACACACACACACACACACACACTCACGCTCACACAGGACCTACTAGTATATGTTGATCTTCCCATCTCAGCCCAAAATATCACCCTGCACACCCCAGGCCCAGCAGCTCAATACATTTGAAATGGAGGGCCCCAACTAAAGCTGGCTACAACCTTTTCCAGGATGGGGGGCTCTTATGGAAAAGACTAGAACTAGGGTTTCCTTAAGCCCAGCCCAAAGCAAACACTTCTGCAGACCAGGCCTGCAGGGGCTCATTCCCAGCCTCGAGCTCCGAATCTGGTGTGTGGAGGCTGTGAGCGTCCTAGACAAACTTGCCTGGGCATTTTGCTTCAAGAATCCCCCTCCTCTGCATCTGGCAGGACCCAGGGGAAATTTTACAGGGTAAAGAGGGGTGATAAGAAGGGTCTGCACATGCCCGGCCAGAACAGCTCAGTGGTTGAGCGTCAACCTATGAACCAGGAAGTCAGGGTTTGATTCCCGGTCAGAGCACATGCCCGGGTTGTGGGCTCCATCGCCAGTGTGGGGCGTGCAGGAAGCAGCCGATCCATGATTTGCTCTCATCATTGATGCTTCTATTTCTCTCACCCTCTTCTTTCCTCCCTGAAATCAATAAAAAAAATATTTTTTTAAAAAAGAAGGGTCTGCACGGGAGCTGCTGCGTGGAGAACGGGTAGGTGGGGAAACTGAGGCCAAGAGAAGGGGTGGGGTGAGTCAAAAGCTGCCTGGGTTACCCCAATGCAGGGCTCCAGTAAATGGTGGGGTGGAGCCTCAGATGCAGGGGAAAAGGCCTGCAGGTGAGGGACCAGTTCAACCTGCAAATGTAGGGGCGGGGCCAGAGCAGGGGCGTGGCCACGATAAGGGCGGGGCCGAAAGGCCTAGAACAAGGGCGTGACCACAGGAGGTGGGGCGGGGCAGAGTGTTGGGGAGGGCGGGAACATGGGTGTGGGCGGGGTCTCCTGGAGGCGGGGCCAGACCTGGGAGGGGCGGGGCATACCCAGGGCAGGGGTGGATCTCGCCGGGAGGATGAAGAAACAGGGCTCGCTAAGGGGCGGGACGCGGGACGGGGCGGGGCTTAGCGGGAGAGGCGCGAGGGGCGGGGCCTGTGCGAGGGGCGGGGCCACCGCGGTATCCGGTCGGGTGGGTAGGGCTTAAGGGCAGAGCAAACGCCGCCGCCCCTCCAGCTACGGAGTTGGGTGGGTGCGCCGGAAATGTCCCCGATGAGACCTGCGTATTTCCGGTCAAGATGGCGGCGCCCACGGGAGTCAGGTGCGGGCGACTCTGTCTTCAGTAGCGGCGGCGACTCGAGGCCCGGAGAGGTGAGGCGCGCCCCGCTCTGGCTCCCCTCTTCGGAGAGGAGGGAGGAGATTCGTTGATAGGACGACCCAAAGGGGTGCTGGTTGCTTTGGAGGCGGGACAGCGGCGTTGCTAAGAGACGGGGACGCGCGCACTGGACATCGGGGAGGGGGTTGCTAGGAGAGTGGGTGGGGCCTGTTGCTAGGGAGGGAGGCGGGGCTAGTGGCTTTGGGGAAGGGTCCCGCAGGTTTGAAGGCAGGAAAGGAAGCGGGCAGTGGTTAAGTGGGTGTGGGCAGAGCGGCTCCGTGTCATGGGGGGGCGCCGGGCTCCCCTAAAACGCCACCTTCTCAGCAGACCCCCAGGAGTCGACCCTCCAGGACACCAGAGCTCCTTCCCCGGTGACCCTCCCCTACCCCGCAACACACACTCCCCTTCTCCACAAGCAGCCCATGGCGGACCAAGGCTCGGGGGGCAGCCGCCTCCCCCTGGCGCTGCCCCCAGCCTCCCAGGGCTGCTCCTCCGGCGGCGGCGGCGGCGGCTCCTCTGCCGGGGGCTCGGGCCACCCCTCGCACCCGCGCAACCTGCAAGGCCTGCTGCAGATGGCCATCACGGCGGGCTCTGACGAGCCGGACCCCCCTCCGGAACCCATGAGTGAGGAGGTAAAGGGTGGGGTGCAAGAAGCCGGGGGAGGGGCGTGGGGACAGCTATATCTGGGGAAGCGTGGCTCGGGGGGGCTGGGAGCTGGAGTTTTCCGGGGTTTGTGTGTAGGGGGGGTTGCGGGAGCCCGGGTGTGAAGGCGCAATCGGCTATATTTTGCTAGATGCGGTCCTTGTAGCCGAGATGAGGGTCAGATCTCAGAACTGTCGGAGGGGGGGGGCAGATCCCGGGGGTCCCATGCTGGGAGGTAGACTAGCCTCGTGAGAGAAGAAAAGCAAACAAGGCTGGATTCCGCCGCATCCAGCTGTGTGACCTTGGGTATCACTCAGTCTCTCTGGGCCCCAAGGTCCCCATTTGCAAGTTGAGGATGATAAGAGTAACGGCACTCAGGGCGGTTCTGAGGTTGCAGTTGCAGTAGCGCTCCTGCAGGCAGCTGGGGCTCCCAGCGGGTGTGGTCAGCTGGTTGAGGGTGGTCCCAGGCACCCAGAGGTCACCTGTTTCCTGTTCCTGGTCAGGGCACACGGCCCGGGTTGTGGGTTTGATCCCCGGGTGGGAGGCTTGCAGGAGGCAGCTGATCAGCATGTCTCTCACATCAATGCTTCTATCTCCTTTCTCTGTCTAAAGTAGATAACAATAATAATAATAATTAATAATAATAAATATTTTTTTTAGCCCTAGCTGGTTTGGCTCAGTGGATAGAGCATCGGCCTGCGAACTGAAAAGTCCCAGGTTCGATTCCGGTCAAGGGCACATGCCCGGGTTGTGGGCTCCATCCCCAGTGGGGGACTTGTGGGAGGCAACCGATCCATGATTCTCTCTCATCGTGGATGTTTCTATCTCCCTCTTCCTTCCTTTCTGAAATCAATAAAAATATATTTAAAATAATAATAATAATAATTAATATTTTTTTAAAAAGAGCACCAGGCTCTGTGGACCGACTGTCTGCTTAGGTCTGACCACAGGCTTTGCAGATGGCTGACTGTGTGATCTTGGGGAAGTCACAGCCTTTCTGTGCCTCAGTTTTCACATCTGTGAAGTGGGTTGTTTTGGAGAGTAATAGGAATATTGCCTATAATGACATTTCGTCAGTGATGGTGGTTGCTGTTCAGGCATACCTCCTTTTACTGTGCCTCACGGATGTTGTCCTTTTTACAAACTGAAGGCAAGATCCTCCACCAGCAAAAAGATTAGGACTGGCTTTCTTGTGATACTTGCTTTATTGCTGTGATCTGGAGCCCAACCCCCAAAACCCCCTGTATATAAAAGCTCCTGCTCATGCAGCTACATCCTCGATGTCTTTGAACCTTAGGACAATGAGCTGAGAAACAAGCCCAGAAGGATTAGCCTCCTGCCCACATTTACCCAGTGCTGTGTCTACAGAGCCCTCAGATGAGTATAGGCAGTTAACACAAACACTGTGCATCCGAGAAATAGAAGGAAAAAACCCCAGTGGCCAGTTCTCGGCTCTCACCGTATCTAATGGAACAGCAGCATCGGTTACTGCCCCTTCCTCGATCTCTTTCTTCACTTGGCTTCCGGAGCAACACAGTGTCCTGGCCCTCACCGTCCCCACTGGCCCTTCCCCCCATTTCCTCTCAGTTCACCCATGTTCTCCAGCCTCTGAATAGTGGAGGCACTGGGACTCTCCTTTCTCATTATCTTTTATTTTCTTAAAATTATATTTTTATTGATTTCAGAGAGGAGGGGAGAGGGAGAGAGAGAGAAACATCAAGAAGATTGGCTGCCTCCTACCCATTCTGCACAGGGAATCGAGCTCAAAACCCAGGCATGTGCCCTGACTGGGAATCGAACCGTGACCTCCTGGCTCATAGGTGGAGGCTCTACCACTGAGCCACGCCAGCGGGGCCTCATTATTTGTTTTAAAATATATTTTTACTGTTTTTGTTTTTTTTTTAAGAGAGAGAGGGAGGGAAAGGAGAGAGAGATAGAAACATTGATTGGCTGCCTCATGCAGGCCCCCTACTGGGGGTCAAATCCGAAACCCTGGACATGTGCCCTGACCTGGAGTCAAACCTGTGATCTCTTGGTGCTCAGGATGGTGCCAGGCCTCTCCTCTCATTTGCACTCACTTCCTGTGTGAGCTCATGTCCTGTAGAGCTTTACTCTCAAACGTGTACCTGCCAGCCAGTGGCCCTCTCCTGGCGGTGGTTGTATCCACCAGACGACACTGGCAATGTGTGGAGACATTCTCGGTTGTTGCAAGCTATGGCGTCTCACGGGTCGCGGTCAGGGGTGCTGCTCAGCCTCTGGCACCTCGCGGACAGCCCCCACCACGGGACTGTCCCGCTCAAGGTGTCAATAGGGCGAGGGCTGTGAAACCAGGTGTCGCTTGGGCCTTCC